CTTCTTGAGAAAATAAATACGTCACTACTATTAATAGTATCTCCAGGAAACAACTCTGGGACTGGTTTAGAAACCCAGATAATTTCTCATTAGCAGGAAGCTACTCTCTACTAACTTTTGGGCTTACTACGTGGTAGTTTATGCATAGGCTATTCTGTAAATCTCAGTGTCATGTGCCAAATGTTCTTGGTTAAGAATTTATTCACTGTTTTCTAAATTAACATTCAATAAAAATTCTACCTGCTAACATGGGTGCAACTTTTGTTTTTATAACAGAAGTTACTGGCATTGAGTTTGACTGACACAACACTTCCTGGGGGCTAATTAAAGCATGTTCTTCCATAGCCAATTTGTACATGGGCAACCTTACAATCCTTATATCTATTATTCAACATTAAATAAGTTGTAAGCATGCCAGAATAATTGGGTTTATTAATTATGCAAGGGAAACCAGGAGCACATGGCAAAAAAAGCCTTAGAGAACAAACTCCTTTCTTTATATTTCCCTATACTTTCAGAAGCCATGAGGTGAGTCACAATTCTAAGAGTTAGTTAACAAAGCTATATTGAATCAATAACAATATTCAAGTTTCAAGGCCTCTACTAAATTTCATAGCACTAGGCTCAAGTGACTGCTTGAGCCCCTCCTCCTTGCTGGCAGTCACCACTGTGAGCAAAGCTTCTGTCTATAAACTTCTCTGTCACTCAATTGTCATGGTATAGCAATAATAGGAACATTCTTCTTTTTGATGCATCTTTTCATCTTAAGAAGAATATAATCAAAGAGTCTTAATGATTTCAACAGTATTACAAGTGACTTAAGAAGATGTACTCACAGAGCATTAATGGTTAGACAGTATTACAAGCAATTTAAGTCATCCTTACGTATAGTTTCCATAGTTGCCTTTTGAAGAGGATATAATCTGACAGTCCTTTATGAAGCCTCATAAAAACTGGTTTTCTCCTAAGTCCAACTTCTTTGTCAAGAAATTGAATACAGTATGTGGCTCCCCAAAGTAAGATTCCCACCTGCCATCACAGGTAGAGATATCACAGCATTCATTTCATAAATTAAATATTATGCTCATACAAAGCACAGGAGCCTTCTAATACTTGAAAACTTTAGGGTGTGTGTGTTTGCGTGTGCACACACAGAGCTTCTCCAAACTACTGTAAGGAGACAGCCCTATTTGCCAAGTTTCTCAGAACAGCTCAGTTCTCTAGAGAAAGGCAGCACCCACAGCCGTGTGCTTTGACTCTCTCCAGGACAGTTCTCAGCATTAGATGGCTTTGGCTTATCAGAAAAGAGTTCACAGAAAGGTTTCAAGTGCACAAACTTAATTATTTTCTTACTGAAGACAACTGAAATTCCTTTGCAAACCTGTCTTCATGGTAGGAAAAAAAAATCCCAACAAACAAAAAGACAAGACTGAGGAGACAGGTGATATTTTGGGCAGCTTCATTTTCTTCATCTTCATGGATTATCCTGTCTCCAGGCGCCTGTAGCCTTCCCTGGGTGACCTCACACTGCAGTTCTCTAGTTGTCTCAGCCATTTCTTTACAAAGAACATCCAATATACCAAATGTAGAAAGGCCACCAGTACTTGTATCTGCTCCATGACCCTTTCTTTCTGCTGCTGTCAAAGAATCCAGATTTAGACCAAGCAGACAGAACACTGCTTCAAGTAGCCTGCTTCTTTTTTACTGGATAATCTTCACCATCATCCTAGTCCTTGTATGTTTTTCTATAGCAAGGTAAAACCTGTTCACAGGCCTGTGTCCTGCCAGGGATGTGAGCCTGTGAGCCTGCTATGTAATAGTTCTACTCATCACTGAATATTGAGTACTAAAGAAGGGATCCCCCTCGCACCTTAGCCACACCAGCATTCAGAATAGTGCACACAGAAGATGCCCTAGTAAATAAGGGAGGGTGCCAAGGTGGAAGAGCAGCCCAGCAATGTGCAGAACTCAATTCTCCACCCAAAAACCATTTCCATCACCTGTACCAGCCACTGCAAGTCAGGTCTTCTGTGGCTGCAAGCATTCAGCATGAGACAGTGTCATCCCCCAGCACCCTAAACAGTAACAGTGCTCAGGTTCCTATGGGAATGGCTTTCCCTTATTCTCCCAGCACCTCACTGCCACCTCAGCACATGCTCAGCTGTGTCACAGCTAGAACAAAGGTAGGAATGAGCAGCAAATGACTAGAGGAATAAGGAGCCAGGGCTGTGGAGCTGCAGTGAGGTAGGGAGAACAGGCAAGAAGAAGGGGATGCAAAGTGGCAGCAGTAAACAAAAGTAATTCAATTAAAAAAGTCCAATTGTAAGTGGGATTCTAGGTAGAGTTAGGGCTCTAGAATTAGATGGCATTCTGATAAGAGCACATCTGGGTATCAGACAGGAGAACGGGGCTGTGGCAGGCTAGATGGAGCCAGTAGCTGAATGAATGGTTTAGAGTTGAGACAAAGAGTATGTAATAGAAGAACCAACACTGGAAGACAAGGAAAAAACAAGCTGTTAGGACCCAGGAGTTCTGCTGAAGTTGATGGAGCCAGGCTGAAGTTGAAGAAGAGTTGCTAGCACCAAGACAGACCTAGGTAACAGCTCTCTGACCTAGGCTTTCATAAGATTTCTTCTGCTACATGAACTGCTAAAGGTAGGGCAAGCGAGTAATTGGGAGCACCTGGTTGGTGCACAGTGGGTAAGTGAGAGAAAGCATGAGCCTCTGGCAGGCAGATCTTGCTAAATAAATAGATTGAATGAGGCTAACTAGAGTGTCCCTAGTAGTATATGAACCCAAAATGGCAGAGCCAAATTTGACACTGGAGATGGCTACACAACAACTAGAAAGACAATATGGTCCAGCCCTGTTTCCAAACAGAGGCCTCCAGTAGACAGACCATGCCTGAAATATGGAGATACCATGTTGAGTTAGAAAGAATATGAGGTTTAGAATCAGACAGAGGCCGAAACTCAATTCTGTCTCCCAATAGCTGCGATTCTGGACAGATTACATAACTTCTGTGAGCTTCACTTTCCTCATCTATAAAATTAGATAGTCAATAGGTTTTATAATAAAAGATTTTGTCATAAGGGTTTATAATAAAGAGCAACTGTACAGAGATTAAACAGAAAACCTGGCCAAAAAAACCTAGTGTTCAATAAATGATAGCTATTATTATTCCTACAAATAATCATAGTAGTATACATAATATCATTAGTGCACATGGAAACACTCCTCCTTACCTATATGGTCAATAATAATAATGATGATGATGATGATGATAATAATCATAATACTGTGAATAGGCAACCCCATACTTAACAAGCTAATCTGTTTCTGGTAATATCGAAAGTCAAACTGTGATAAGTTAAAGATTGTTTATAATGGAATTTGTAGCTTTACCCTGAAGTCTAATGTTATGCCAGTACATTGCATTTTATACCACACAAATCATCACATCTTTTCCTTCCCTCTCTCCTTGCCTACCTTCATTTACCACCAGCATTGACTGCATCATCCTGGCAATCACTTGGTAGGGAGTCAGCACTGGTACAGGTTCCATTTCCACTAGGAAGTGGAAATACAGGTTTGGGTAGTTACCTTGGGGTGAGGGTGGGGGGTGTCTTGAATATGAAGAGGAGGGTAAAAAAATTTTTAAGTAGGATATGATTATCCACAAGTTGTATCGTCTCATTTAAGAGTCATCTACATTTGTATGGTGATTTATAATTCTTATACATAAACTATCATATTCTATTTCAAATTAAATGAAGCAGGATAAATGTTCTTATCTCTTGCTTACAGATTAGAAAAATAAAGCCCAGAGGGGTTCTGGTGACTTACTCCAGGTAACACACTGTAAAATAATGGAACCAGGCTAGAAGCTGCATCTCTGGATTTGTAACTTGGTACTTATCCACTATAATTGTTCTATAACCTATGAGTTAATACATCAGGTACATTTAAAAAATATATTTATATTCGGTATTTTTCTTACTTGAAAGAAAGCTCTGATTTCTTAGAAATGTAGCTTACTTCTGAAATAGCTTTATTTCATTTTATTAATTTTATAAATATGTAACTTAATTGTATTTATAAAAAAGTAATCTCCTTAAATTTGATATTTACTATTTATTGACTTGATTTTAAAGTGTCCAGTATTTTACAATTTTCTTTAACAGATTTTAAATTGAAAATAATATGTGCACTGTATTATGTTGGAAAATATTTCCTTTCAGGGACTAGGTAAATTATTTACTTCATTGCCCTCAGAAATAAATTATTCATTATAAAAATGCTTTTATGAGTAAATGATGCTTATTGTGACAGTTTAGAGTTCCACTGAGCTTCATATTTTAATTTTTTTAAAACGGCACTTTTGTTTCTTTCAGATTAACAAAATTATTCAGTTCTCTGTGAAATAAACATACTGTTTTATTAAAGGCCTATGTTCTTTGACATATGTCAAAATGGACCAGCTATAGAAATCTGCAGTGGATAATATGTTATTTATTAGACATTTCTAGCTCAGCAGGCAATTCAGCCAATTTTAGTCTTTGAAGTTTTGTAATCTGGTTATCTGGCAGTACTAATTATTAGAATACCCGATACCAATTTTTCTATGCAGAAGTCAATGTCTAAGCAGATATATTTGTACCAGTAGCTATCCTTTCATGTTGCTCAATAGTTTCTGTTAAATTTATAGTTATATACACACACATACTTTAATTCCTTTCTCGGAGTAAATGATCTCATATATTTTGTCCCTAAACAAAATTTTAGCACAGATTTCTTTTTTAAAATGTGAAATCCCTAACTGGAATAAATTTCATTTGTTAACTGGGAACATTTGCTTTGTTCACTGCAAACACAGATTTAGAGAAACAATCTTCAAACAAACAGAAAAAAGGAAACTACTTGGTCCTAGTCAAAGAAACAAAGGCTTTCCATCATATTCTTTGGTTGTTTTATCTTACCATATAAACATGATCACTTACCAAGTGGCAAAAATGCAAGACGGTTTCCAGCCATGGAGAGCTCATTGAGGCTGGGCAGCTGGCAGAGATGGCGCGGCACACACCATAGACGATTTCGGTCCACAGTGAGGTACTGCAGAGAAAGGCACAGGTGAAGCCTCTCGGGTAAAGTTAGCAAACGATTGGTAGAAATGTCTAGTGTCTGCAGCTCCTTCAAATCGCCAACCTCTACAACCAAAATCAAAATTAAGATAAATCGCATTCTGATGAATTTAATTAAAGAAATTAAATAAAATGAATCAATACTATAACAGTTCAAGCCAATAGAATCAGAAGCTGCAACTATTTCCATAGACACAAATGCTAAAGCATGGGATTTAGGGCTAGCATGCAAATAATCCAGTGTCTTCACATTAGCCTGCTAGAATTTCTTCAATGGAGAAAAGGGCTGGCAGTGGGGGGAGGAATGACACAAAGTGGTAAATCTGAACTAGAAGTCTACTACTATGGCTTCTACTTCTTGATGAATCAAAGTTGCTGCTAGGGTGAGAAAAGGATGATTACAGTCACTTCAAGGTACCTGATTTTTGCTACTTGTGTGATTTTACTGTCCACCTAAGTAGAAAATAGGAGACATAAATTATAGCATTCAAATAAGTGCAATTGGTTTATATTAACTGAATAGAAGATTTCTGGAGTAAGAATTAGGATATCTTTTGGAAATGTTCACCATAGTAAAAATTATAATAATTAAATGAAATTATGGTTAGGTAGCATTTTTAGATATTGTCCAGCCATGTGGCTCCTTTTAAAATCCACTCAAAGTATACATAGCTATAAAGATTTACTTTAATTTCATCCAAATTAAATACTTCCATTTACTTCAAAATTCCCTCACCATTGATGTCTAGAGTTGTAATCTGTCCCATGGTGAGTACAATTATGTCTTTTTTGTACATCAAATCGCCAAGTCTTGAGTGAAGAATGGGAAGTTCTTTACAAGGAACTTAGTCCTTCTTAGGGAAAATCACCCTTTTAGGGGGAGGACATTGACTCTTTCCCAGGACAACACATTCCACTTAAGACGCTACAGGAAGCACTGTGCAGGATAAGCCTACCTCTTCTGCATCATGGACACTTAAATGTCAAAGACCACTTTGATGCCACTGTTTGCCCTTCTCTAATCCTGTCCCCAATCCTGAGCCACTCCTCTTAGGTTAAGGTTTCCCAAACTCTGCCACTTGATCGTACCCCTCTGTGCACGGGTACAACTGAAACACATTAATTGCTTCCCCAGAATTCAGCTTTCAGGATTTCAACATTCAGGACTTTAGTCTTTTCTTGATATTGTGATTTCTTAGACTTTAGACATTAAGATAATTTAGACTTTAGGGATTTTGATCTCTCAAAATTTCAACATTTGGGGTTATGCTGTTTGGGATTGTGTCTTTTAGGATTAAGATCAGCACTGCAACCAAATTGACCTAATTTGACATCTAAGAACACTACAGAATACATATTCTTTATAAGTGTATACAGTACATTCTCCAGGATAGACCATGTGCTAGACCATTAAACAAGTCTCATATTTAAAAGTATTGAAATCATACAAAGTATATTCTCTGATTGAAAGGGAATTAAATTATAATAGAAATCAACAATAGAAAGAAATCTGAGAAATCCCCAAATACTTAGATATTAAACAACGTACTTCTAAATAACTCACAATAATGAAAGAAATCACATGGAAAATTGGAAAATATTTTTGACCAAATGAAAATAACCAACATAAGATATCAAAATTCATGGAATGCTGCCAAGGAAGTGGTTAGTGGAGATTTAAAACCTTAAATGCCTATAATAGAAAAGAAAGTTCTCAAATTCATTTCCTAAGTTTCTATCTTTAGAAAGCAGGAAAAAAGATGAAAATGAAACCCAAAGTAAGCAGAAGAAAGGAAATAATCACAGCAGATATCAATGAAATAGAAATCAGAAAAACAGAGAAAAATCAGTAAAAACAAAAATTGGTTCTTTAAAAAGATAATAAAATTAAAAAACCTTTAGCTAGACTGACCAAAATAAATAAATAAAAGAAAAAAATGATACAAATTAACAAACTTGGGAAAAAAAGATGGGATATCACTATGAATTTTACAAAAATTAAAAGGATTATAAGGGCATACTATGAATAAATTTATCCTAACAAATAGCAACTTAGATGAATGAACATTTTTCTAGGAAGACACAAATTATCAAATCTAATGCACGTCATCAGAAATCTGAATGGATGTATCACAAATAAAAAAACTAAATCAGTAATTTTAAATCTTCCCACAAAGAAAGGCCCATGTCCAGATGGCTTTTCTCATCTATTAAATATTTAAAGAAGAAACAATACCAATTCTTCACAAACTGTCTCAGAAAATAGGAGGAAAAACTTCCCAACGCATTCTCTGAGGCCAGCATTACCCTAATACTAAAAGCAGACAAAAACATCATAAGAAAACAAGTTTATAGACAAATATCCCTCATGAACATAAATGAAAAAATCCTTAACAAAATATTAGCAAACAAAAGCTAGCAACACATTAAAATGATTACACATCATTATACATTATAATTTGATGTGTAACAAGTGAGACTGATGCCAAAATTATAAAGTGATTTAATATCTGAAAAATCAATCAATATAATACACATGTTCCTTGAATAAGGAAAAAAAACCCAAATGATCATTTCAATAGATGCAGAGAAAGCATTTCACAAAATCTAAAATTCACTTATGATTAAAAAAAACTCTCAACAAAGTAGGAGCTAAAGGTAACTCCTTAACCCAGTAAGGGGCTGAGATCACATTCGATGGTAACAGACTGAGTACTATCTCCGTTATATAAGGAGCAAGGCCAGGAGGCTGACTGTTTCCTTTGCAACTCAACAATGTACTAGGGTGTCTAGCAAATGCCTTCAGGCAAAAACTAAACAAACAAAAAGTATCAACAATGTAAAAGAAGTAGTAAAACTTTCTTTATTCACAGATGACACTATCCTTAGTAGAAAATACTAATTAAGGGATCCACAAAAATGATTAGAACTAGTAAAAAGTTTAACAAGGTCATGGGATATGAGATTAATATTAGAAAATGAATTGTATTTCCATATTACAGGAAAAACAATTCAAAAATTAAATTAAGAAAATAATTCCAGTCACAATAGCACCAAAAAAGAAAAAAGAAAGAAATACTTGGGAATAAACTGAACAAAAGTACAAAACATATATGCTGGAAACTACAAAATACTGTTGAGAGAAATTAAAGCAGCTCTAAATAAATAAAGAAGTTTCATCATGTTTATGGATCTGAAGACTTAACATCAGTGAGATGGTATGCACCCCAAATTGATCTATAGCTCCAATATAATCGCTATCAAAATCCCGGGAGGCATTTTTTGGTAGAAATTGACCAACTGATTTAAAATTTTATATTTAAAATACAAAGGACCTACAATAGCCAAAACAATTTTGAAAAAGAATAAATGCCCTTCAGCAGTTGAACGGACACACCCTGTCCACACAGTGAAATATTTCTCAGCAATAAAAAGGAATTATGGATACATATAACATGGCTGAAGCTCAAATGCATTATCCTAAGTGAACAAAGCCAGACTCAAATGGTATGATTCTATTTATATGACAAAGAAATTGATGAATATATAAATGATATAATTTATATTGTATGATTCCATTTACATGATATTCTGGAAAAGGAAAAAATATAGACCTAGAAAAAAGGACACTGATTGCCAGGGCCTAGCGTTGTACAAAGGCTGGTGTACAGGGGAACAGGGGAATCTTGAGGGTGCTGGAACTCTTATGTATCCTGATCGTGGTGGTGCTTACACAATGGTACAGCAAAAGGGTGAATTTTCCTGCATATGAAAATAAAAAGTAAAAACAGTAATTCAAAAATTACTTTCAAAAATAATAAAATTCTTTCTAAATATGGCATACATATTAAAGCAAAAATTTAAAAATTACATACATTATCTGAACATTTTAAAAAAAACAGAAGAGTTATTCTGGGTATAAATTCACATAATCAGTTTCTTAGCTGTTTTTATTTCTAATATAGTATTATTTGTATTTTTCTGAAAAGTCTATTTATATACTTTTATTGTTTCTTTCTAATAACAGTACCTATAATTAATTTTATCATTTAAAAATTTAACATTATTGACATTGTCAAAAATATTCATTGCTATGTCACCTTGAAAGTAACACAATAATACTAACAAAGTTACAATGCATTCCTTTTGGAACCTAGGTAGAATTCTATTCTTTTCAGCTGGTCTTCCAGTGACCACATCACTTCCAACTCCCTTCACCCCTTCAGTGGGAATACACATCCGTTTTTATACCTTATTTCCTTAGTGTCCCTGGAATCATCCTAACTTCACAGTTGTTTGCATTGTCTACTTCTGTGCTAAATATATAATACCTTCAAACTTTTCAGCTACTTATAGAGTATCCTGAAAATGATTTCATTATTGCCACACAGTAATTACTTAGACTAAGCACAAAAATAACATTATGGTGTCAATTTCAAAAGAAAAAACACTAAGTCCCCTTTAAATCATCTTTCTGTGCTGATGAGCACTGACCTAACCTAAAATTTAAATGGGAATGGGAAGGAAGCCACCCACTCTATGCCCAGCCAGTGACCACAGAGAGTCAATAACAAGGCTTGCTATTTTCAAGCACTGGCTTTTTCCGGTACCACTGAAAACAGTACTAATTTGAGCTCCAAGGCACACTGAGTTAAGGAAAACACACAGTAATCTCCTCTTATCCGCGGCTTCACTTTCCAAGGTTTCAGTTACCCACGGTCAACCACAGTTTGAAAATATTAAATGGAAAATTCCAGAAATAAACAATTCATAACTTTTAAATTTCATGCCATGTTGAGAAATGTGATGAGATCTTACACTGTCCTGCTCCATCTTGCCCTGGACATGAATCATCCCTTTGTTCAGCAGATCCATGCTGTATGGGTACCCGCCCATTAGTCACTTAGAAGCTGCCTCGGTTATCAGATCAAGAAAACATAGTGTATATATTAATATGAGGTTCAGTATTATCTGAGGTTTCGGGAATCCACTGGGGTTCTTGAAATATATCCCCCACGGATAACGGGGGACTACTGTACAAAAAATAAAAGACTATTTCAATTCAC